CACGTACTGTACTCACTGGAGTATTCTTGCAAACCATTTAAGGGGAATGGTAGGACTCTGGGGAGAACACACACTCGAGAAAGCGGTAGTCCATGGGCCAGAGGCCACATTTGGAGAAGGACTTTCTGGCATCATCTGGCGTGATCGCTTGGTGTCCGGCCACTGCAAGTTTGATCTTGTACGAAGTGTTGGACCAAGACAGATGGATCATGGACAACAATTCGTCCCGAGTTCTGCGCACTGTTTGCTGAAATGTTCGATTTACGAACTGGGCGCAAGGTTGTAGAATATGAGTTGTGTTTGCCGGCAGTCTTACGACAACAATATTCATTCTCTCACAGGCTTCGAGACACTCCAAACCGTCTCGAGAGCTGTGGCCGTCCACAAAGAGGACAATATGTTTTCTGAATCGATAGTTTTTCTCACATGATTGTTGATGTGTTCAGCAACTTTGACGATAATCTTGCGGTCCACGGACCCGCATTTCGTGACGTGGAGAGCGGTTTCTGGCGGAAACCAATTTTCCTCACAAAGCCAGTGTGGGACCCGTATGAATTCGTAAAGTCAATCTTGCTGAGGGGTTGCTTCCAAGCATTCATAACCTTTTTCCCGACGCCAGAAGAAAAAGGGGCGCAATATTCCCACAGGCAGGTACGGCAATTCCCGCTGTGACATGCTTTCCTGCGTCCTTTATGCTCCTTCTTGACCCCCCACTATGCGCACTGGACGAGCTGTAACACCTCAATTTCCGGCCATACTCCCCTGATACGGCCGTCTCGTCCCAGTTCCAAATGCGACGTGGATCCAAAAAATGCCCGGATGCTCTTGCGCAACGTTTTCGATGGCCTGCTTGAGAGTCAATAGATGGGACTGGTTTTCAGCAGCAAGACGACCGCTGGAGACGTTTTCAGCAACGCAGTAGGCAAGGGAGCGGTTTCGAGCCCGGAAAGAGCGGATCGCGTCTGGTGAGGGCAGTCCATAGGCATATTTCAAACCGCGATCTGCGGCTATTCGGGCATCTACAGTGCTCATTACTGAGTTGTTTACTGCAAATACGTGCTTGGCGGCATGAAGGGTCCGTTCGACGACGAATTTTTCCTCGCATTGAGACAACACAGTTTTGCGGCCACCATGATTGCTTTCCGGATCAAGCAGTTTCTCAAGCTCTTCCGTGTTTGAGCGATCGTATGCTGATTTGATTCTTTTAGCTGTGGTTCGGGACACGTCCGTCTCTTTGGAAGCTTGGAGGGCGCTTTTGTCCTCCTGTATTAAAGAAAAGAGCTTTGCACGATGAGCACGCTCCTCCTTTCTCTTATTGATCCGCCTTTTGTTTGCGAGCGTTTGCGCTCTCATGGACGGTGGCATAATGCCACCGTCAGCTCAGCGTGCGTGTAGAGAGGAGGAGGGAGTACTCAACTGTCTGGGTGTGGGGTGTGAATATGTGAGGTGAAGTGTGGAATTTTTTAGAAGGCGGGAAGGGCAGAGGATTGTTGTTTGAATGGTGCCCAAATTAAGCCATTACCCAAACTAAGCCGGTGAGAAGGGTACTAGCCCTTTTTAATTAACGAAAATCGCAACTAAATATGCGAATATTTAGGAAAGTGCGCGAAATCCTGTTTCAATTAGGAACACCAGTTCCGACTAAAATGTATGCTATTTTCCAACTGTACGGAAAATGACTATTTTAGCAAGTCAGGGCCGGAGGGCGCCCACTAAATTTGAAGACTGTTTCTCTTAACCTCCTTCCTCTTCGCCTCCTTCTCCTTCGCCTCCTTCCTCTTCGTCTCCTACCTCCCTCTCCGCTTTCTCCTTACCCTCCTCCCTCTTGTCCCCTTCCGTCTGCGCCTTGAAATACCCCCGCCATGACGGACGCCATCCCGCGCAACCCCCCAAACTCGCAACTCACGGCCTACTACGGCCTCTCAACGGTGCCACGCTATCCTTCCCAACAGCTCCGATCCCGTCTAGCCGCGAAGAGGCGCTCGCTCACGCTGCACACCTGACGCAAACCCTATGTTTGCATGCTCTTCTACATCACAGCGCCCGCCTACGTCGCACGTCCGAGTTTCTCGAGCGCAAACTGAACCTGTCCAAGCATCGCTACTCCGCCCACCTGTCGTCCGCCCCCAACATTTCGCCAGCAAGGTATTTCGGCAAGGTGGGAGGTATGCTGCACTTGTGCCTCAAACTGCGCGACCATGGCAACAGCCGTTGAGAGGTCATCCTCTTCCGAACCCATGTTCGGATTGATGTGAGTTGTTGACAACTATGACCTCTGAGACCGAAGCACGGCCTCCTAAATTAATACTCTTCACGCTGTACACGACGCTGCTTGCTTGTTTTCACTACTAATTTGGTGCAAGAAATGGTCCGATTTGAGGGTCTTAAAAACAACATCATTTTTCGTTAATTAAAAAGGGCTACTGTATGCTGTGGGTTTTGCCAAACGTGTTGTTTGGAAAATTTGCGTTCAGAAAATCCGAGCAAACTCGCCGCCAAAACACGCGTTTTCGTGACTTTACGGACAGCCATACTGTACCATGGAATGCGTCAGAAGGATTTTTGCAGAACTCTTTGCGGAATAATTCGAAAATCGTGCTGCGGAAGCTCTCCTGGAAATTTCGAGATTTCATGCATCAGCATTCAAAAATATACTGTTTGTACAGTATCGAGCAGGTTGCTTTTCAAATTGATTATGGCCGTACAGCTATGACGCTTGCTTGAACTCTGAAAAGAATGCACGCTCAAGCAAAGACCTCTCTAACGCACACACAGAAATTAGCAGAAGCGATATCCCTCGTGATAGTCTTGCCATCACGACCTTCGTATATGCTCACACACTGATGTTCACACAAAAGTATCCCTGATTATACATTCTGCGAGCTGGTTGTGCTGATCATGCGGGGAGTTTTCAAGAGTGGTGAAGCCATTCGTCCTGCATTTCCCTTGTCTCTCCACGTCATCGACCCCACAACATGGGGACAGCAGTTGTGTCGGAGATGCTTAGCTGCGCGGGGCGTTCACTGAGCTCCCCGCCTGGTCTGACAGCTGATGCAGCCCCGCAGGTCACTGATGAAGAGGCTATCTCCGAATCGTTCATTCCCGCAGATTCTGTGTCTGCAGTTTTGATCTCGCCCCGCCGGGTTCTCGTAACTGGCGGTGTTCTAGCTGATGAAAGAGTACTCCCTCTTACTGTCCTTCGTTTCCTCGACCTCGACTTATCATCACGAGCAGAGCACGCTTGGACGAAACCCCATGCACTGCGCTCCCGCGGAAAACGCAAGCGTCCTGATTCTGCCTTCCCTGTTTGTCGTATGGAACAGACACTCACATATGTCCCAGAATCTGCGTCACTTTTTCTGATTGGTGGCTTGAAGGTAGGTGGCAAGGATGAAGCAATGGCCTGCAAGACCATGTTTGCTTTCGACGTGCGAGCCAAGGTATGGGAGTGCGTGCAAGTCCAGACGCCCAGGGCGGATAAGGATAATACATTAGGCCCCAGGTTTGCTCACTTGGCAGTTTACGTTCCGCACATCGGTGGGGAGAGCCGATCCTCCAAGGCCCGGAAAACGTCTGGATATATATTGGTTCATGGTGGATACACGTCCACAGAAGACGACGCACCTTGTCATTCTGTACATGTGTTTGATGTTCGCTCAGGTCGATGGTCATTGCGAAGCGTTGGCACAGAGGCTGACCCACCTCGTAGAGCGTATCATGCCGGAGTTGCCACCGCTTCTTTCCGCTACTTTGTAGCACATGGGGGCCAATGCTCCCATTTGGGAGATTCCGGTTTTCTGTCTTCTGACCTCATTATCTTTGACATTATCCGCTCTTGTTGGATTCGGCCCAACTTATTGCCAGCGTCATGTACTCCTCCCACAGCGCGAAAGCGTCACTGCATGGTTAATGGCATCGGCAAGCACACAGGAGCAATATTACTCTTTGGTGGTGAGCTATGCAGTGGGTCGTACAGCAATGAGCTTTTTGTCTTGCAGGTCATCGAATCCGATACAACAGATAGATACTTAAACGTTGTCTGGGAAAAAGTTGATATCCACACTCCAGAGCGGGGGATGCCAGAGGTTGAACCATCGCGCGAAAGAGAATCAAGTGAGAAGTTGAAAAAGGGAACAAGCGGCAAGAAGTATGGGGCAACTGCGGGAGGAACTTTGCTTGCGATTCCTGCGTTGAAGAAGTATTTGGTCGTCGGCGGGCGTGGAGTATATGGCGTTCGGCAGAGTCCTCTACTCTTGGACGCCAGTGAAGTTGAAAAACTAGACCGTTTCGACAATGTCCTGCCGGACGAGCAAGATCACACAGGGATGCGTGGAGCTCCCCGTTCTCAGGGGCTACAGCCTCGTCCTATGCCCGCAAGAATGCAAACAAGGCAAGGAACAACGAGGGCATCATCTCCGCCCGGCGGAAACCAAAAGGAAAAAAATGCGAACGCATTCGAAGGAGGCGTGACAAAGGGTTCTAGACATGGCAGAGAATTGCGGAAACGAAATGTCTGTGGAACAGGGATGCCCTCCATGTCTCCAAATACTGATGCAAAGAGTGTCTCTGAGGAAGGTAATCTTCCCGTCCTACCTAATCTTAGGGTTGCTGCAAACAGTAGAGTCCAAAACGACGAGTCTGGTTCTAGTCGTTTGCCGAGGTGTGAAGAAGGCATTTTGAATCAGCAGGGTATCGGAAACCCCGATTATCAGCACAGGGTGTCCCTTGTATGTTTGCGAAAGAGAAAGTACGTTACGAGGTCATTCGCTTCTCCACCGACGAAAGATGTACAAGTGTTGCCGACCCTGAATGCGAGCGCAGCCGTACTCTCTGAGTCCGGTGGCATTATCCAGAATGTCGTAGAGAAGGAAGAATCGAGAATGAATTCAGCTCGAGGGAAGGAGCCGGCAGATTTGAATCAGAAGCTAGAACTATCAGCGACAAAACGTCGTCGTGTTGCTAATGATGGGATGGAAGACGTGTCGAGACGAGCTGACGATATGCGGTCTTTTTCTAGTAGTGGCCTTGCTCCTGTATCTGAGTTTGTTGCTGCTTCTGACTTGGCATTGCAAGGGAGGCAAAGAAATAGGAGACCTGTCCGGGGGCGTGTCAGAGGGCAGGGCACGAAGTCAAGAATTCAGTCAGCTCGGAATTTCAATGATGAAAGTGAAGAGGGACGGACTAATCGAGCAGATGAGGCCTTGGTACGCGAGGGGGCCCGTCGTAGCCGAGACCTACAGGCTGAGAATACAGACCTGAAATTGGAACGGGATGCCTTTAGGAAAGACAATCTGGACATGAACAACCAGATGAAAAGCCTATTGTCTGAGCTGGAAGGTCTTCGAGCCTCTCGCAGAGAACACCAGACACTGGGCAATGTGTCTTCTCGCCTACAGCGATCTGAGACACACGAACCAATCCGCGGCTCTGGAGACGTACAGCAAGACCGCAATTTCGATGGTCGAACTGGTGCTATCAGTGAGTCGCAGTCTGAAGAACTTCAGATGCTGCAGTCAAAAACTGCAGATCTTCTTGAAGAATACGAGGAAATTGTTGCTGAGAAGGCGGGATTGAGCAAATCGTTGAAAGAAGCAGAAGAGGGACGGAGAACGTTACAATCTGGGTTGCATTCATCCAAAAACAAACAGGATCAACTTGAAACTGAGCGAGATCAACTGCGAAAGCAGGTTCGAGAACTGCGGGCTCTGGTAACAGAATTACGAGTGTTTCGGGATTCAGGAAATGTTGACTTGCTCAAATCGGAAGAGAGGAACTCTTACCTGCAAAGAGATCGCGAGAGGTTAAAAGAGGAACTGCGAGAGAGTAATAGCAAGTTGAGCGAGGAAAAGTTAGAGTTGTCAAACACACAAAGGTTGGTGAGCTCCATAAAATGTCAACTCACTGAAGCTCAGAGAAAATACGACGAATTTGATTCAACTGAGAGGCGTTTGAAAGGCGAGTTGGGGTGCCAACTGGGAAAGTTGGAGGAGTTGCAGGTGCTTCTGGACCAAACAAAAATCGAAAAGCAGAAGACACAGGAGGAGAACATCAACCTGAGCACAGAACTTGCAAGTTTGAGGACGGAGTACGAAAGAAGCCAAAACGGATATCAATCAACTCTGCGAGATTTGGAGAAGTCACGCTTTGGATTCCACCAAGGGCAGAAAGAGGTTGTTCATCTCAAGGGTGAGATGGTCAAAGGTAAGCGTGATCTAAGCCGCGTGCAAAGAGAGAGAGATTCTCTGAGATCGATTGTGAAGAAGAGAGAGAGTGCTCTACTTGCGTTGCGCCCGGTGTTGACGCAGGTTACAAATAAAATTGACGCTCTGTTGTCAGTTGGACAAGACGTTGATTACTCCCCCGTGGATGCCGCTCGAGACATTGCAGAGAGCAGATGTGGGACACAAGCACAGGAGGAGCAAGAGGAAGTCGCGGAGATTCAGCCATTTTCCCGTCAAGGACCAATCTCCCGACGCGGCAAGGAACATAGAAGTTGCGCAGCTGCGCAACTTCTATGTTCGTATGACGGCGGGGACGTTAATGAGATCCCTGCTAAATCTCACCCGGAAAATCACGAACTGAGTCGCATTCCGGGCACATCGGAACAAGGTCGACAAGCCTAGGCTGCGGATACTGTACAGTACGTGTCGTGAGTGCCTGTCACAGAGCATGAGGCTAATGTCTCAAAGCACCGTCTCAATCGTTTGCAGTACACGCGATAAACATCAGACCGCCCCATAGTGGTGAGATTTCTCATAGATTTTTATATTGCTTCGGTGGACTGCTGTCCTAGACGCCGAGGGTCTAGGCGAATAGTGCGATATAGTATTTCGGTACGAAGTACGACTTACCAAGATCCACTGAGAATTTATTCACTTATCATTTTCAGTGTATGCGCTTGAAGGTGAGAGGCCTTTGTTCCAATGTCCAGATCAAGGAGTTTGTCATTGAATGTATCCATTCGTTTGTCAGTAATGCGTCCACTGCGCTTCGTATTGTTTCATGCAGAGTGCTAAGAGGGTTGTGTTTTGCGCAGGTGCCTTGCATTTGGAAAACACAGATAAATGCACGTTCCTCGCAATGATAAATTTTCACAATCATTGATGTAAAGTTGATGCCATCAATGCTGCAAGTTTCTGCTCCCTTGAGATGTAGGGACATCACGTCGTTCCACTAGATGGCTCCTCGTAGCCATGAAACGCAGCTGGTTTTAGCAACACCGACATTAGAAACATGCATTCATGGACCATACGAAGACCAACTGCTCCTGTGCTTCTGGCCGTCTCCCATCCCTCTGTGATATCATCCAACCTCAGCGCCTCTTCTGTGCGAAACTTATTGAGATTTTACAACCCCCTTTTCTACTCAAACATAAATATTTATCGGAAGTAGGTGTCTATGGTATCTCGAGGCTGCCCCTATATCGAAATCTAGCGAGAAAAGTTCAGATACCGCTCCCTACGGGCCGAAGGCTGGTACTCTTCATCGCTTATGCTGACCATGGGTAACCGGGCGGTGTTGTGTGCCCTATTTTCAACTCTATTTCTCAGTTGCTCATCCCACTCCCCGAGATTGGATCTGATTGCAGGAACAGTAGACTGGGACGAGGTCGTGTCAGCAGGTCTTGACCATCATCACAAAGAAGTCTGGGAGAAGCTCCGATTCCATAGCTTTCTTGACTTTCTCTTTACGGATATAATCGCAAACTATACCACGATTTCGGCTTCCGAGAAACGAGTGACCTTTCCATCGGGCGAATGGATGATACTGGAATTACTTTCTTCTGACGAAGTGCGCGAGTGTATCACATTTCAGATCAAGGATATGAGCCCAGCAGCGATAATCTCCGGCCATAGTCTTTCACCTGTATTAATATTTGTCATGGTTGGGCCGTGGACAGGGAAAGTAAAGGAAAGAAGTGTGATTCAAACAGGGTTCAAGTTGATAAATTCGAGTGGCGTCCAAGGCGACGGAACGGCAGCGAAGCAGATTTTCTCTGCCATGATTCGGACGTCTCACGATACTGCACGCACAAAACTTGGCGCATTTCCCTGCCAGGATGATTTTCGCAGTTATGGTGGTACATGTAATAACCAAGAAAACGCAGATTGGGGCTCCTACAACAAAGCACTGAAAAGAATAGGCTCTGGGAAATTCGATCCCGCTTTTCTTCCAGGAACAAATGATTTCCCTGCAGATGGAATGCCAAATCCACGTATCGTTAGTCGGATCTTGTTTCGACAATCTTCATCGCGTTTATCAGTTCGCCAGGTAACCTCGATGGCTGTATTTTGGGGACAGTTCATCGATCACGATATAGGCCTCACACCGGACTCGGGCAAAACTGTATTTGAAGAGAGAATGGACATTGATATTGTGGAAAAGGAAGACCCCTTTCATTTTCGACATGGAGGAAAATTAGAGTTTGCGAGGTCCAGAGGCGTACTAGACGGAAAGGCGTGCTGCGGTATAGGAATAGCTGAACGATTTCCCAGGGACCCAATCAATCTTCAAAGCAGCTTTATAGATGCATCACATGTTTACGGATGTCACAGAGAGAGGCTGAAACCTTTGCGAACCTTCAAAGATGGACAGTTGCGAGTCGGGTTGACACATGAAAATGGGGAGCACCTTCTTCCCAAAAACGCAGTTTCAGAAATAGGAAGAAAAGTGGAGAATGCGCAGTCTTCCTCAGACAACCATTTCGTTGCAGGTGATATCCGCGCCAACGAACAACCTGTTTTGACCAGTCTCCACACTTTATTCATGAGGGAACATAATAGACTGGCAAGGATGCTGGTAGAGAGCTTCCCATGCTGGCAGGATGAAAAGGTGTTTCAATACAGCCGGAAAATTGTTGCCAGCCAAATCCAACAGCTAACTTATCGGTTTTTTATCCCTGCTCTTCTCGGGAGGAGGCACGGCCTTCGTCAGTATCGCGGATATCATAACAATGTCGATCCATCGATTGCTAATTTCTTCTCGACATGTGCCTTCCGTTTTGGTCACAGTATGGTACCGGAGACACTCACACTTCTCGAAACTGGTCGCCGGGCACATTCAAAATCCGGTACAACTCTGCAATCTGTTTTTTTCGATCCCTCGTTTATCACCGAAATAGGTATAGAAGCTTTGCTATTAGGAGCTTCGCACCAAGTCGCCGAGTCTGTAGATTGCCAAATCGTCGATTCTTTGCAAAATGAGTTGTTCAAGAATGCCACTGGCGGAGTTGATTTAGTCTCCATCAATATTCAACGTGGACGTGATCATGGGATTCCGAAGTATAATGATGCCCGAGAAATGTATGGTTTGAGAAGGAAACGGTCATTCGAAGAAGTAACCAGCAATCATACCCTCGCACAAATTCTTTCTTCTCTATATACTTCAGTGAATGAAATGGACAGCTTCGTTGGGGGTCTAGCTGAAGATCATATTGAGGATTCAGAATTAGGCGAGCTTTTTCACACAGCAGTACGAGACCAGTTCACTAGACTCCGTGATGGGGACAGATTTTTCTATAAGAATACAGATTGGCCTTTGGACATGGCTAACTTCAAACCAGTAGAGGAGCTGAATCGCGAATCTCTAACCATACAAGATATTATTGCGCGAAACAGCGGTGGCGCGCTTCGAAAAGAAGATTTCGATGAAAACGTATTCCAGAAAGCCTGATTGCTCCCATATAGAAAACGAAAAAAAGTATATTTCGAGTAGATGCCGGGCAAAATAGACATGAGAAAAACTCTTTTACTCTGAACGCTATGAATGTTTCAAACGGTCAATAAATAACGACTCCGAGCTTTACATCGATCGGATATAATTGCCGTTGTCGTCCTACGTTGAGCTGGGACGGTATGGTCGCTGCCTCTCGACAGGTAGCACTTCTAATTTACCATGTTTCGAGTCTTGGTAATGCAGTGATCATGGGTCATACTTCTGACCGTATATAAAGCACAACACGTCTACTCTCTCCTAATCTGCCCCGAAAAGTTTTAAAACAAGCATACTGTACAAAAATTTGCACGTCTTTAGGCTCATTTCCGTATCCCCTGCAGTACTATGCTGCCGCCCCTCTTCTCCCTGCTCTGTCTCCTGCATCTAAATCTCCATCTTGCGCTGGAGCTGTCTCTTAATAACCCTCCCCTCTATCTAACCTTGAATAAGACCCCGGAGGGCAAATGCCGTACCCCCCTCAGAAATGGCCCTCACGTGCAGCCGTTGCTCAAGGCATCATTCCCGGTACACTCATGTATGTCGCCATGATGTGAGAGGTTTTTTCGTCTACCTACTCTATCTCTTTAACCGTCCTTTTGTTTCCGCCTACTGTCCTACTTTTCCCTCACCCCATCCAACTGCTAGCCCTGCAATAATCGAGGATACTGGCCGAGGGTGCTAGAGGTAAACGACAAAGACAAACTTCATATGATTAACCACTCTCTTTCTTGTGGCGATTGGGCATTCATTTGGTCCTTTTTTATAGAGTCCTTACGGTCATCCATGTCTTTCGTTTAAAGACAACCTGGAAGCTCTTTATGTGAATCTCCATCTCCTTAACTACAAATAACACACATCTACGTATCTTGCCATCTGTTTATTCCTCTCCCCGATTCATTAAAGCCTCATGCATTCTCTGTTTCTCTCTTCACCCCATTGAAATAATACAGCCGTATTCTTTTTTCCATTTCATTTGCGGTTTATCTTCGCCTTTCCACTGCGCGAGCCTATTTTGTTCGCCAGCTCTCTTTTCCCACTCGTTTTACTTTTGAAGCTCACCACTAATTCCTCATATCTGTAGTCTTTCGTTTTTCATGTACTGTAACTTGTGTAGCATAGTCTCCTATTGTGTAGTGACCTCATTTGAGGCACCTTTTCAACTTATTTTTTCCCGACATGTGCGTACTCAATAAGAAAGAAAAGATACCCTCACCACCGCAGATTATTTCTGCGTTGCAGAAAGATGGAGTTTGGTGAGATCTGCATGTCCTTTCCAGTCGTTTTTAGAAATGTCTGGAAAAGAAGCCTTTCTGAACAACCTTAAAATGTAGTGTTGATATTTTCGAAACCAAACAATCCGTTTAAAATCTCAACCGGCTCTATAAAATAAATTATATTCTTAGTTTTTAAATGCATTCAAAACTTCTATCCTGATGTTCTGCAAGATGCTTTTGCCGAGGTCAACTACGAAAAAGAAATGGTGTCCAAATTGACTTTTTAACATTTTGATTTTAATGTATTTTCTTGCAAAAAAATGGCTTCATTTGATTCGAAGACGGACCTCATACAGTATAACAAACAATATGCAGACACTATTGTTTGTCACCTAGACACTAATGCAGTGCTATTTCAAAAGGTAGCACACTTCAAACATCACACCCGCTATTATTTCGCGATTGTGCGGAAGTCCGCAATTCAAGCAAACATAAGACTTTTCCTGGGTCAGATAACTCTCTCTTTGCCGTAGAGAAGAACTGTTAATCAAATATTGTGCGTTAGAGTCTGAGAGTGGCAAAATTACCTTTTCTAATAGCGAGAGGTGCAATTTCGTACTAATGATTTCCTTTCGTATTCCCTGCATATTTCTGTGACACTAGAGGCTATAAAACATGGCTCATGGCACCAGGTTTTCACTGGAGAAGACATTCGGGAAAAGCTCACTGGCGATTTTACAGGCCAAAAAGTATAGACGGAACCATTTTTTAAAACGTTTCGGACTTTAATAAGAATGGGGGTGCAATTACATGCTTTCAACCACGTCGAGAGTATCCTTACCCTGTCCATCGTCTGTTTTTTTTTCGTGTGTGCCCGGTCAAGTCCTGTGCAGTTGCCAATCGAAGTGAAAGCAGCAGGGCAGGCGAATCGTATCGGAAAGATTAATTTCGCGGCAGATAACAAGGGCGCTCTATTTGTTAACGGAATGGAAAAGGGTTCCGTTTCACATTGGAACGAGTTCAAAACTATTTTAGTTCCACTCTCGAAGGGAGATGTCATTTCTATTGTGGCTGTTGACTACGGTGTGTGGTACGGGGTCATTGCCAACCTGGAATACGACGGAAAGCAATATGGAACTGGTGGCGAGCACTGGAAAGCGAGGAAGAAATTTGATCTTGCGGGCGTTAAAAACAAAAACGCATGGATGCTTCCCGGATACACCACCTGTGGGTGGAGGAAGGCGCAAACTCGCCCTCGAGAGAACGAATATTTTGCAGGAAAGGCAAAGGACTTTCCGGCAACTCTCAATGCCAAATACGTGTGGGCGAAAGACGCAGGTGAGAAGAACACAATTTTCATGAGGCTTGTTGTGGGTGGAGAAGTTTGCGGTGATGTGACCACATCTCCGCCTACAACTGCAGAGCACACGGAGGTCTCGACAAATACACAGGGGAGTGGAGACGATGAGAGTGAAAACGCGGGCATGGTGGGGCAATCAGATGACTCTGGAACAGAAGTGTGCCCATGCAGAATAGTTCCTTCTGGTTCGAAAGGAGTTTGTTGGGAAATGGTGGAAGAGGGCGAGGGTGGGAGTCGTTGCACTTCGAGAGATTGTGAGGAGCGGTATGAATGTATGACTAATGATATGGATGCATCTCTGCTGTGTATGCGAGGATGGGCAAAAGAACGTGTGATGCATCTTCCTTCCAGTACAGGTACGGAAGATAGATGCGAAATGGTATCTATCCAACCGACCATGTTCTATCGCCCGTATAATGTGTAAGCGGTATTTAATGGTGTCATGCGGAAAGCACATGTCAGTTTGCCGTGTTGATGAGTGATAGCATGAAAAAGGTAATAAGGTTGCCCCACCATAATTGACACAATCTTTGCTCTCGACATTAAAGTTTTTGAGGGATTGAACGAAAAGGTTTGATGGGATCTTTTTTCAAGAGGCAGATAGTGAAATTTTGCTGCGATGTAATCAACTTTTAAGCACAACTTGAGTTGGGTAAGGAAGCCTACTAGAGAAAATGTCAGGCTGAGGAAGGGTCGATGGAGCAAATCATGACATCCTTGGTGCTCGACTCCTTGCACTAAAGAGGAATAGTCTACTGTGAACGAGGTGACACAGTAAACATACAGCAAACCATACTGTACATCTAATGATTTCGGAATCACGTTGGCACTGGATTTAGGTCGCTCGAATTACCCAAAATATTTCATTGAAATTGCATGAAAAGTGAATACCTTTACAACAAAAAATAATTATCGAAATTTACGTTTTCGCCCGACGCCCACCCGATCCAATCCGACCGCTACCGTCGGCGCCCGCCGCTCGCAATCCCTGCAACTGTCTCCAGAGCGAACATTCACTTCGTGCGTCGCGGACAGCCGTTTGCCTGTCCTATCCGCAACTTTGCTGTTTCTCACTCGTCGAAGTCTATCATCAACGTGCCGCGATGGGTCGCGTCATCAGAGGCCAGAGGAAGGGAGCAGGCGGTATTTTCAAGTCTCACACTTCAAAACGGAAGGGCGCTGCGAAGCTCCGCGCACTCGATTACTCTGAGAGTCATGGATACATCCGTGGTGTTGTCAAAGACATCATCCATGACCCTGGCCGAGGTGCTCCGCTAGCTAAAGTCGTCTTCCGCGATCGAATTCGCTACAAGAAGAACGTCGAGCTCTTCATCGCCTCTGAGGGCATGTATACTGGCCAGTTCCTTTACTGCGGTCGGCGGGCAAACCTTACCATTGGCAACGTCATGCCGCTTTCTGAGATGCCTGAAGGTACTATTGTCTGCAACGTCGAGGCTAAGAAGGGCGATCGCGGCAAGCTTGCCAGGGCTTCGGGCGATTACGTCACCGTCATCGGCCATCTTGAAGGAAACAAGACCAGGATCCGTCTGCCCTCGGGCATGCGCAAGGTCGTCCCCAGCACGTGCCGCGCTATGGTTGGAATTGTTGCCGGTGGTGGCCGCACGGACAAGCCTTTGCTGAAGGCCGGTGCTGCGTACCACAAGTACCGAGTCAAGAGGAACTCATGGCCTAAGGTTAGAGGTGTGGCCATGAACCCCGTCGAGCATCCTCATGGTGGTGGTAACCATCAGCATGTCGGTCATCCCACCACTGTGCGTCGCGATGCACCGGCCGGGAAGAAGGTCGGTCTCATTGCTGCCCGTCGTACTGGTCGTATCCGTGGTGGAAAGCCAGCCAAGGAGTAGACTCGCCATACTTTTACGAGCTGCACAGTTGCTAGTAAACACACTTGACTCGTGCAGAATCTCTCCTTACTGCGATCTCTCGAACGCGCTGCTACCGCGCTCTGGAAGATCTCATAGCGAACCTACCTAGCTGTGCTCTGTCCGGTACATGTTGCACTTTTATATCATTCCCTCGGTTGTGCGATACGAGGGAAATATAAAGCTCAATCGGTGGCGATTTTCCACGAAAGCAGATGCGCGCATTGTCTAAATGTCACGAGGAGCAGATCTCGGCAGGGCCTATCGTGTATATCAGATGGCGCAGGCAAGTTACCCGGATCGCACAAACCAGGTCGGGGACATACTGTTTACATATAGATTGGTGGCTTTACTTTCACGCTTCCGGCTTTGGGGGAGCCAGAACACCCGCAGTCTTTAACAGCGCCTCCAATTCCTTGTCCGAGAGTTGGTGATGAATCACCCTTCCATCTTTTTGGCAGACGGTGGAGATCTCCAGCTTATCAGCTGACAAAGTGGCGCTATCCATAGTCTTGGTGAGAACCTTAATAGCTAGGCTAAGGGCATCGTTGAGATTCATCTTTTCCGTGTAATCGCTCTTCAAGATACTACTAGCAGCGCTCGCGTTCGCTCCAATACTGGTCGCCTTCCAGCCACCATAATTGCCGCTAGGATCACTCTGATAGAGCTGGAAGCCATAGTGGCAATCCCAGCCGGCAAACAAAAAGCTGACGCCAAACGGTCTGAGGCCACCGAACTGGGTATAGGTCTGCTTGGTATCGCAGATGAGTTGGAGCAAATGCTCCACCGGGATAGGCTCCTGGTAGGCAAAGGAGTACCGCTGAGCGGCGAGACGGGCTTGATTGATGAGAATGTTGGCGTCAGCTGTGATACCGGCGACGGCGCACATGATGTGAGAGTCAATTTTGTACATCTTCTCAGAGCGCTTGCCCGTGTCGAGCAGTTTAGAGGCCGTCTTCTTCTCAGCGGCAAGCACGACACCCTCCGTTGAGAGGACGCCTACGGCGGCACCCGCGTTACCGATCGCTTCCATGGCGTACTCTACCTGAAAAAGACGCCCCTCTGGGGAAAAGGTGCTGTGGGATGGGAGGGGAGCGCATGATACATGGATGACGGGATTTGTTAATGCGCTGCTTCAATCGATGGCGGAGGAAGGGATAGAGTTTTCGATGTTAGGGTTGACTTACGTTGTCCGCGCATCATAGCGGCGTCCTGCCATTGTGTTGGGGGAATCAAAAAGTTGCGGCTCCGCGAATTAAGGTTAGCGCGATGACGTGTTGGTGGAAATGAGTGTGGAGCGGGCTGAAGTCGAAGATCGGCGGGATTCACAGTGTTGATGAGCGTTCTGAGGTTGTTTAGGAAGGAAGGGATCAAGATGTGGAGAGTGCAGCGGGCTGGTGGAAGAGAAAAAGCGGGTGGGCCGAACGTGTCATGATCAAGGATGGATTGGGACAACTCCTGTCGGCTGGAATGAAGCGTGGACACGTGTGGATCCGGGAATCATAAGCAGGAAGGGTGCGTAATAATTGGATCACATGCAGGAAAACGGATGTACGATCCGATTGTGTTGATCTCAACTGTTGAGATTAAAGAATTAAGGAGCAGTAGAAACAATAGAAACTCATAGGCGGGTACAGTAGAGAGTTTTTCGCGGCAGATGAGAGGGCACTGCTGATTCCGTTTCGTTCCCAAACGCAATAAGGCCCGTGCCGCCTCTTCAGCAACAGGCCGTCCGCATGCGTTACACCCCAACCCCACGCGACCCACCTCTCTTCGAAGCCCACCCCGCGTGGGGTGCCCGCACCCTTCCACCACCATGTTACCCCCCGCAACCCATGTCTTCCCCTCGCTCGTGGGCGTCGCCCGCAAGTCAGTCCTCACAGCCTGGTACAATTTCGCCACTGCCTTAGACGAGGGCCTCGGCACCCATCGCTCTGCAATTGAAGCAGCAAGCTTCTTCTCCCGTGCCGCATCTGCAGACCATCTCCCCTCTATTATCCGCCTAGCTGCGCTGTACGAAGCCGGCCTCGGCGTTGAACAGGATCCCACTCGCGCCTTCAGCCTCTACGCCCGCGCTGCAGCTCTTGGGTCCGTCCAGGGCACAGTCGCCCTCGCCCGTCTGTACCGCCACGGGAGAGGCGTGCACAAGGATGTCAACCGCGCCGTCCAGCTGTTTCGCTCGGCGATTGACTGTGATTGCAACGACGCCCGCGTCGACCTGGCGGAATGCTACATCGCCGGGGCAGGCGTCCAGAAGAGCTCCGCGGAGGCCATCGCTTTGTACAGAGCGGCCGCGGCGAAGGGCTCGCAACTGGCAAAAGTCCGCCTGGCAGAGTGCTTGCAATCTGGCACGGGCGGCGCCGCACCGGATGATAAGGCTGCTTTCGAAGGCTATTGGGAAGCCGCTTGTGAGGGAGAAAAGGAAGCCTTCTTTCCGCTAGCAGACTGTTTTGATAAGGGCGCTGGCGTTGAACAGTGTCTTGAAAGCGCATTTGAGTGGTATTTCCGCGCTGCGGATATTGCTGATGATCCTCGTGCCAAGCATATTGTCGCCGATTTCTACTTTGACGGCGTCGTTGTCCAGAAGAGTTACACGGATGCGGTGAAATACTACAAACAGAGCGCGGGCGCGGGGCTCGCTGCTGCGAAAACTGCTCTGGCTGATTGTTATCTTACCAGTTCGGGCGTCAATCGAGATGAAAAGCGCGCTACGGAGCTGTATCTCGCCGCTATGGAAAGCGCCTACGCGGACGCCTTTGTTGGCATGGCCGAGTGTTACTTGGATGGCGTGGGAGTCGACGCTGACGAGGGAAAGGGCTTGTATTTGTTTGAACGTGCCATCAATAGCGGCAGTTTGCGCGCGCACTCAGCCCTTGCCGAGCGTTTCTTCTACGGTATCGGATGTGAGAAGGACGTTGCGCGAGCGGCTTCACATTACAGAAAGGCTGCGGACGGTGGCTCGGTTCCGGATCAATTCGCCATCGCGAAGTGCTACTTTCAGGGCGTTGGTGTGGCGCAAGATTACACAACTGCTGTGGAGTACTTTCGAAAAGCTGCAAAAGGCGGTTGCGTTTCTGCGGCGGTCCGTCTCGCACATTGCCTAATGGGTGGGAAAGGTGTCCCAGAAGATCCCGTCAAGGGCCGCGAACTGTACGAAAAGGTAATGAAATTGGGCGACAGCGAGGCAAAACTCAGTCTAGCTCATTGTTACAGGCTGGGTAAAGGCTGCATTTTGAACCTTAGCCACGCGAGAAACCTGCTTCTAGAATTGTCTGAATCGGACCACCCAATTGCCACAAGGCACCTCGCCATGTTCTACTCGAGGGGACTAGGTGTGAAGCAAGACTATGCCAAGGCAGCTTCTCTTTATGAGAAGGCATCTCGCATGGGCGACGTTGTTTCGAAAAGATGCTTAGGGAAGCACTATAGACTCGGTTTGGGTGTAGAGACAAATATGACCAAGGCTATGGACCTCTACAAAGAAGCAGCGCTAAAGGGGGACATTGCGGCCTTGGTGAACGTGGCCTTGATGTACGATCGCGGTTGTGAGATTGAGCGCTCTGTTGAGGGGGCACTTTTATACTACGAACGAGCATACAAGCTCGGAAAGGAAACGTTACGGGGGAACATCTATACATGTTATGCTAATGCTTCTAGCAATGAGAATATTGCGAAAGGCGAGTTGGGATTTCTACAGGATATGTACATCAAGGGTCATAGGAACATAGCGAAACGCCTTGCGTATGTGTATTACTATGGCCGTGGGATTCCAGTGTATCCGGCAAGAGCTATATCGCTTCTTGAGGAGGCCTTGAAAACGCGGGAGTCTGATTCTGTTAAGGAGCTCTTAGGACTTTTTCTTGTCGAAGGGCGGGGTATTCCAAAGAATTTGCTGAAAGGTTCCGTCTTGTTGTCGGAGGCATGTAAGTCGAATAGAGCGAGTGCAAAAGCAACGCAGGGTCTTTGCCAAGTGAGAGGGCTGCTCGGAGGTGACCCTCAGAAAGGCGTAAGCCTTCTCGAGGAAGCTGCTGAAGATGGGTCCACCCGGGCGTGCGTTTTGCTAGGCGATTATTTCTATCATGGTCGCTTTGAGCAAGAGAAGGGAAAGAATACATTACTGGAAACGAAGCCAGATTTAGAAAAGGCGATATCTTACTATAAGAAAGGCAGCACATGTCCAGCTGCTCTATACCGCCTCTCTATGTGTTATGGAAAGGGTCTAGGAGTTACCATGTCGCAAGATCAGGCCTCGGGGTTTTTGAGGACGGCAGCGAAAATGGGATGTGCTCATTCTCAATCCGCTCTTTGCCCATACCTGGAGGATGGGGTTCATGGTTTGACCCAAGACATGAAAATGTCACTTGCGTATCACGAAAATGCGGTTGCGAGGCTGTCAGGGCAAAGGAAAGGGCGAGTAATGTACAACTTCGGACTTTTTCTTGAGAAGCACGGCCAAGAGCTAAAATACTTTTCTTCGCCAGCCGAAAGGGACGAGAAATTGAAGCAATTGTTTCAAGGAGCGTCAGAGGAAGGAACTGGACAAGCGACGAACGATCTTGCGATATTGCTGGAACGAAGAGTAAACGCAGACAACGAAGAAGACGAAACATCAGCGACAAGCGAGGCATTCGGGATGTTCCTAGAGGCATCAGAAACGGGAATAATTCGGGCTGAAACTAACGTCGGCATCTGCTACGAAATGGGAATAGGGACATATGGCGACATGACAAAAGCCAAGCATTACTACGAAAGAGCAGCACTGCGTGGGGATGCCATGGCGGAGAACAATCTCGCACTACTACTCGAGGAGGCTCAGGAATATGGGCGGGCTGTAGCACTGCTAACGAAAGCGGCTTCTGCAGGGGACTCCAATGCGATGGTCAATTTGGGGCGGTTTCACGAGAAGGGCCAAGAAATGGCGGTGAGTTCGGAATCGGCTGTTAAGCTGTACACGCAGGCTGCAGAACTGCAGAATTCGGACGGAATGTTTAACTTAGCGTCCTGTCATGAATTTGGGATCGGTGCAAACAAGCATCGAGAGCGGGCGCTTGACTACTACAAGCAGGCTGCGAAGAGAGGACACACAAGAGCAAGAGAGCGACTAAAACTATTCGAGAATGATGGGGATTGATCCATTGATGGTCTGGAGCTCGCTGACTAGATAACAGTATTTAACCCGGTATCACTGAGTATCGAAAAGGCTTGGTGCGTTCTATCGGTGATGTACCTTGCCCTCGAATAGCCTGGCCGGTGCTTGGGGAAAGCAGACGAAAGGTGCGGTCGACAACTTGTCTTCATGTGAATACGGGCAATTGTTGCCAAGGAGTTTGTGTTTCAGACGGTTTCAAGTGGTTCCGATTGGTTAGGCCATATCGACGTTCTGCAATTCCATTGGATGCCACAGCTTATTGCGATAAATGATTGGCTCAGAGGGCAAGCATTTCTCGGTATCGTGCATCTCAGGTGGATCCGGTTTAATGTTATCTGCCGCCCAGAGGGCTTAGCAGAGCTGAGGCGAATCCTGGGTGTTCCAGACCTGGTCGTCTACATGGTCGACGGTATGGAAACTGTTACCGCTTCCACACTCAAACGACTACTCTCGACAGAAGGACGGGCTGGCAACATTGTGATATGTCCGACGATTTGTTGAACTTGATCAGATCCTCACACAGTGGACCGCGTTGCACTTGCTACCCTTCTCAACAACTGCGCATCCGCAGACTATTTTACATGTATCAATTGATCTAGACGACATCTATGATCTATGAGTGAAACAGTGGAGAAAGGCATGACAGCCGTGGTGCTGTGAACGTTCTTGTGCCGTTTCATCATCACTATCGAAAAACACCTCACGAAAGTCCGGAAGACAACCGCCGCGCTCCATCTCATCAACGAATAAATACAACATGGCCGTCCTAATCCTCTCGTATCTGAATGACAATCTTGCCGTGGCCCCCTCTTTGAATCATGACATTAAACGCCTCTCTCACGCCTTCCGTCGTGAACGGAAACGGACACCTCTTGTCCACGATAACCTCCACCCTGCCCTCCTCAATCTCCTTAATACATCTCTCCAAAGAGTCCCCCCTCGGGGCCGGAAACATCATGACATACTTGGGCCTGTTTGGAATCAAGCGACTCATGAGTGTGCGTCCGAGTACTGGGGCAAACCAGGTGATCATGTGAATCGGGGAATGCATTTCAATATTCCATTCATTCACAACGACGGCCTGAAACCTGCCTCCCTCTCTCCCGTTCTTCAGCAGTCCATGCTCGCGGACCTTCTCCCACGCGGTGACGCCCTCCGCGCAATCAATAACGACATCGAACGGGTCCTTCTTCCACTCTGGGACCTCCCACCAGTTGCGCTCGCGGTAGTTGACGACCATATGTGCGCCGCAGCGCGTGACGAGCTCCTCATCCGTGGACGTGGCGGCCACATACGCGGCGCCCTTATTCCTTGCAAACTGGATAGCCATGGTGCCAACCGCGCCGCTCCCGCCCAGCACGAGGACGCGGTCGCCCTCCTTGACCTGCGCGTCCTCAACGGCCAGCATGCCATTGCTGGGCCCGTCGGCCATGGCGGCGGCCTCGAGCCAGGTGGCGGCGGGCGGCTTCCGGATGGCCAGGCTGGCGTCGACGAGGGCGTACTCGGCGAGGGCGCCCATGCCGAAGCCGTCCCACGTGGCGATGACGTGGTCGCCCACGGCGAAGCGGTCCTCGCCCGGCGCGACGGATTCGACCACGCCCGCGACGTCGCCGCCCGGCACGTACGGCCACGCCTTGGGCTTCTTCACCACGTCCGCGTCGCCCGTCGACATGCGGTAGTCGCTCGGGCTCAGCGACACGGCACGTACGGACAGCAGCAGCTTGTCCTTGGGGCACGGCGCGGGCGGGCGGGCGACGCCGTCGACGACGGTCAGCACGTCGTCGATGGGGCCGAAGCGGGAGATCTGGGCGGCTCGCATGGTGGTCGTTGCGGGTGGTGGATGCGGGGGGTGGATGCGGGAGGTGGAGGAGGGTGGTGGGTGAGGGTGGCAGGGGAGGGGCGGGGAGGGGGGGAGGGTTTTATGTTGGGGAAGGGCATGTTCGTGCGGACATGTGTTTGTTAGTACTGAGTAGGGATGAGAGGGAGGGGGGGCGGAGAAGGATGCCATTGTTAAGGAGAATGGCAGACGATTGGGTGTACTGTAGTAGTGCGGGGAATGGCAATTGGTGGGGATGCGAGATTTTTTTTGTTATTGCTTGCAGGCCATTGGATGGTTCGTTCACAAAGATGTCCTGCAAGGTGCAATCTCCGACGGCCATCATGCGACGGCCATCATGAGACGCCCGTTGGTTGCGCATCATCGTCGCTGTCGGAACGGAACGAAACGAATCGTACCGAAACGAATCGTACCGTGCCCTGCGAACAGTACAGTATGATACCCGAAGAGCATCTCTATCCGGTGTCCGTATTCGCTTTTCTAATGAAAATTTGTCATTACTGTACTGTAGAATGAGCGAATACTCTAGCACCCAATACCAACTTGGTATTGGGTGCTAGAGTATTCGCTATTGGTACGCCTTGGTAAGTTACTGCATGGTGCAGTGCTCTACACCATGCAGTAAAATGCAACGAAGGGTACGGTACTACTACGGTATGGTTATACGGTACCTGAAGGTAGCACTCGATTACGGTATCATGCTGTCCATGCTTTAAGTAAGACAGCAGTCGGAATACAGGTCGCAAGCCGCCATGGCGTTGACCACCTCGCATCATGCGGAAGAAGAGCTCTCACGCGACAACGACCGTCTTTTGTTCAACACCACAGTAAACCTTTTCCCTGCCATGTCCCCCCGTTTTCAACAGCGCAGAGGCAAAACCACGCATTTATTGCTAAACGAAAACAAACGCATGGAACAAACGTAGTATGGCCTGTGTCCACACCTAATCCTACTTCCATCATCCCTTACCACGGTTTCCCACCCCCTCCGCCCTACTTCTCTTCCGAAGACTCATGCCTCGAAGCCCTAGGGCTACGAAACCCTTGCGTGATCTTCCTCATAAGCTTCTCCGCGAAGCTGGGCGTCTTCTTGGGCGTGTGCTGCCCGTCTCCCTGCTGCTTGCCTCTCGATCTTCTCTTCGCCACGCCCCTGCCGCCGTCCTCCGTCGCCCCGTGCGCGCTGATGTGCCCCCTCTCCTTCTTCAT